CCATTAGGATCTAGTTCCCCCCCACTCAACTAGGAGGGTGCTACAAGTGTGTAGTCTGGGCACAGATTCACTTTAGATTCTACCTTTAGTTTAATGTGAATTTAATCACTGTTTTCAAATATGCAAATATGTCTCCGGCAGCATTTATTGCAGGCTGCTGAAGAAATTGTTAATATGAAAAGATAGACAGCAGGATTATGGGAATGGATATGTTAAACACTTGGCGGGCCAGGGATGGCTGCGAAGGCATTATCCTTCCATCTGGCAGCAGTCTGCGTTCGCTTGCTATATCACCGTTCCCAGGATTCTCCGGAGGACTTCTCTATATTCTGAGAGACTAGAGATATGACTGGCCAGATACATTCAGGCTGGCGGGATCTATGGCTCAGAATGTCTGGATATGGACTGAGAATCACTCATCCCCAATAGAAGAAACCTTCAGCTGGGTGATAAAGATGGGGAATTATGGACTATAGTTATACAGGTTTCAATGAAATCACTTAGACATCAGAGACCAGGGTGAGAGTGGTTCCCACGATTCCGATACATATGTAGTGCTACCCCCCTGCAGGAGCCGCTGAATTTGGTTGGATCCCCCTAAGCTTTGCACAGCCAGGCAACACGCATGTTTCCACATCTTGCACATCCAGAGTCAACAATACAGTCCTTGAGCTGGTATTTAGTTGTTAACAACTTGGATGGGGTCTAGCGGTATGTGGGATGCCCAAAGAACTGTAAGCTTGAGGACAAACTTCTTAGCAACCTGTACACTATATAAAATGTAGATCGGCAAATATAGAACTGTCACCTTAAGGAGCTCTAAAGTCCCCTTGGTGTACCTCCTCAGACCCCCAGATGAATCCTCCTCTTCATCCGGCTGCACTGAGAGTATCCCTGGGCAAGGGATTCCAAGATCTAGCAATGAAGTAGTCCCCAATGAGAACTAGTTGGGTCCTGCACCTGAACACCCTCTCCCTTTATTTGTCCCAGGCACTGTAGGAGTACTCACACTGTCTTGTCCTGTTGTAATGGGTTGGTAGCTGCTTTCAGGCCTTTCGCTGCACTGGTTCCTTCCCTGTTGCTCAGGATGTCCTTGGGCAGTGGAGATCCCCCTTTCCAGCATCCTGCCTGTAGGTCAGCTCCCCTCACTGGGTCCCCTTCCCAGGCTCCACACTCCAGCCTTCTCTCAGTCCATCTTCCACCCGACTCCCCATCTACTCAGCTCTAACATATTTAAGGACTGTTCTTGGTCACCATGCCTGCCCTCTGCCAAGACCAAGTGCCCTCAAACATGCAGATCTGGGCCTGCTACCCTCCTCCACCCCTCTTTCAGAAAGTTCTTTAGCCTCCCAAGCAGGGGCGGACTGACCATTTGGAAACTCGGGCACTGCCCGAGGGCCCGGGGTCAGTAGGGGGCCCCATGAGATGCCCCTGGTACCTTTTTCATAGGCTTTTTTGAGTTTGGGCAAGGACACAGGGGCCCCATGATCCCCTATTGCCCTGGGGCCCCATGAGTTCTCAGTCCGCCCCTGCCTCCCAGCCTGTCCTGAAGTGAACTCACTACCCCACTCCCAGGCTGACTCAACCCCAGGCTGCTACCCAGCCTTTAACTAACCTAGCTACCTAGATGGTGCTATACATACAACGAGAAGCCATGACCTGCCAACTGCAATGAATTGGTCCTTCAGGCCTCACCGTCAGTCAACCGTTTCAGTTTTGAACTTTTGACTTTCTATATACTGTACATAGTGCACACTGAGCTCCTCCCCTTACCAAGGCAAAGTGGGTCTTCCATTACCTTTACAAATCTGTAGGAATAAATTCCTGACAAGTCACAATTTTTACAACAATATCGTTTTTATTTAACCGCTTGCCTACCAGGGCGTTTTTTTTTTTTTTTTTTGCACCCTTGTTAAAATCTAAATTGTTTGCTAGAATGTATATATTTTCTGAATGCAGGGGCCCTGGAGAATAAAATTGTGGTAGCTGCAATTTTTTAATGTTACGTGATATTTGTCCAGCATATTTTCAGGAAAAAATACACTAAAAATGAGTTTTAGTGTAAGCATACACAATAGTGTCACCAAAATGTTGGTAAAATATAAACGAATGGGTTGTGGCGAGTAGCTAGATACCAAACATGTCAAGTCTTAAAATTGCCTGTGAAATTGCTTAAGGCTACGGTACCCAAAATTCTCCACATTCGACGATTTAAAAGCCTTTGGAGGTTATAAGTTTAGAGTTAGTCGTGAGCTACGGCCCAAGAAATATAACTCTCACTCCGACATCTGCAACAAGACCCTCAAATGGGCGGCACAATCAGGGCTGCTGTGAGAAACCACAGGGCCTCATACAGCCAACCTGACAAGTCCCCACCCTTCAAAAAGACCACAGTTTACTATACTTCGGTTATGATTGAACACAGTGAGGGATCGGTTCCGATCACTTATTTTGTTCATTCAGGAAAGGAGGGGCCTGGTAAATGTGGCATATTTAGATAGACCCCCTCCCCCACTCTCCATCCTGAAGACCTTACTGTGTGCTTGCAGATGGTGGTGGGAAGGAGAGGAGGGAATCCGGCAGTACTGTGGAGGGGGGGGCACAGAGGGGCCTTGGCAGCAGGGGAAGTGTATGGTGCACAGGGAGGGTAATAGGTGCACCAGGGGGGCAATTACTGGGACCGATCCCCTGTATGGCTCTGTGCAGCAGCTGAAAGCCAGTGGGAGGGAGAGGAGAAGAAACCAGCATTCACGTGCTGCAGAGAGAGCCATACAGGGGATCGGTCCCAGTAATTGCCCCCCCTCATGCTGATCACCCTCTTTGCCCACATCCAATTCACCCAAGCTGCTGGGCCCCCCTGCAGGCCTGGGCCCCATACAAGAGGACTGGTGGAACCCCCTTGTCCATGGCCCTGGGCACAATTGATGTTTACTGGCCATTCCCTGAATGTTTTATATGGGGTGTGAGGGGTGCTTTAAAAATAAAATATTTTTATTTATTATATGTAATTATTTTAGTTTTTTTTTACACTTTTAATTTTTAGCTTTAATGCTATAACAAAGAGGCTAACAAGCCCCCTATGTCATAGGATGGGAGTCTGACAGGTCCTCTTTATAAAGATATTGGGGATTTATTGGACCCAGAACAGCTGCCCTGCCCTCCAATGCAGCTAATCAAGCACAGATTGTGCTTAACTATCTGCATCCTCAGCTATACTGACCGAGGGATGACAGCTGTGACCCCGGAAGGGACCTAATCAGGGGCGGACTGACAACTCATGGGGCCCCCAGGCAATAGGAAATCATGGGGCCCCCTACTGACCCCAGGCCCTCAGGCAGTGCCCGAGTTCCCAAATGGTCAGTCAGCCCCTGACTCAGACACATCCCACAGAGCCAGCAGGATAACGAGTTTCGGGGGTGCACCAAGTGCCTAAATGGTAAGTCCGCTCCTGGACGTAATATACTTGTGGCCTGAGGGAGAAGAGACTGAGGAAATGCCTCCACCTGCCTGCAGAATACTGACATTATCTCACCCAAGGCAAAGTCACTTTTTGGTTGGATCCTTTTTTGGGAAATGTTTCTGTTGCTTTATATTGAGACACATCAGGATTTTTTTTTCAGACTGAAAGTTGGGGAAAAAAAATAAAAAAAAACCTCCATTCCTGAAAAAAAAACCCTCTAAAATCCACTGTAAATCATTATATCTGAAACCCTTAGGTCCATAGAAACTCGAAGTGTAACAAATTCTTTATTTGAAGCAAACAGCAAGTTACAAAAAAGAAAATGCTGCTTTCTGCGGCTGGCTTGTGATGTTCCAAACAATGCGATGCCCTCTCCGGGGCGTGGGGGGCGCAGGTCACTCTGTGTTCCGGAGATGCAGTTGCTTCAATCATGACTTACAATAGCCAGTTCTTCCTTATGTAACTTTCCGTCCGGCTCCAAATAAAAGCTGTCAGATCCAGAGCGCTCTGGCTGTCTTGAATAGCTTCGGGTCTGGAGCCTGTGGACCCACCGCAAAGCTTGAGGTCATCAACCGCAATGTTGAGGTCATCAACCACAATACTGGGGTCTTCAAACCACAATACTGGAGTCGTCAAACCGCAATGCTGGGGTCATCAGCCGCAATGCTGGGGTCATCAACCGCAATACTTGGGTCATCAACCGCAATACTTGGGTCATCAACCGCAATACTGGGGTCATCAAACCACAATACTGGGGTTGTCAAACCGCAATGCTGGGGTCATCAGCTGCAATGCTGGGGTCAACAGCTGCAATGCTGGGGTCATCAACTGCAATGCTGGGGTCAACAGCTGCAATGCTGGGGTCATCAACTGCAATGCTGGGGTCATCAACCTCAATACTGGGGTCATCAACCACAATACTGGGGTCATCAACTGCAGGGCTGGGGTCATCAACTGCAATGCTAGGGTCATCAATCGCAATACTGGGGTTATAAACCGCAATGCTGCGGTCATCAAACCTCACCTTTACGTTCTCATCATTTAGAGAGCTAGAAAGCTGCTTTTGGTGGAGATTGCATGCTATTCATCGCCGGCTTTGGAACACAGGATTTTTATTCGGTAAAGTTTTGGGTGAATTGTAGTCCCATGGCCATGTCGGAGATTGTGGGCACCAGGCCCGGTGTGACCATAGGGCACACCAGGCATAGAGGAACCTGCAGGAAGGAGAGGAGGAGGGGCATTCAGCAGTGGCAGGAGGGAATTGCATGGTCTGGTTCCTCTATGTGCCGCCCAGCTGCCCCTCCGATACAGGTGACCCTGCCCATAGGGCAAATGCCCAGTGTGCCCTATGGCCTCGGCAAGAGAGAAATACATGGCCAGGATCCTCTAGGTGCTACTCTGAAGCCCCTCCTGTCCATCTCCTGCTGCCGTGGGCTTCTGTATGCCCCCCCGTGGCCAGCCCCCCTCATCTCCTGCAGCGCTGGAGCCTGGTTCCCCCCTCCCTGCAGCTGCTGTGGGGGATCTCTCAGGATAGACTCTCTCTGTCATGATCAGGGGTCAGGCTCAAAGACCAGTTGCTATAGCAGTGGAAAGGCTTACCTGCAACCAGCAGGATAGGTACACAGGCAGGTCACAGTGGTGGAGGAGTGGGATCACCCGAGGTGCGGAGTCTAAATACCAACCGGTGTTCACCAGAGCTCCTGATGGTGGAGATGGATTTTGCTGCATGTTAGCACCAGGTCGAGGCCCTCAGGATCACCCCACCAGGAGGTGAGCAAGGTCCAGTATAAGCGTATAAGCAGGTAAGGATCAAACGGAAGAGTGGTCAGTAAACAAGCCAAGGTCGGTAATGAGCAGTCGCAGGTTGGGATCAGGCAGAAGCGTAGTCGAGAACAAGCCAAGGTCTGTAATGAGCAGTCGCAGGTTGGGATCAGGCAGAAGTGTAGTCGAGAACAAGCCAAGGTCTGTAATGAGCAGTCGCAGGTTGGGATCAGGCAGAAGCGTAGTCGAGAACAAGCCAAGGTCTGTAATGAGCAGTCGCAGGTTGGGATCAGGCAGAAGCATAGTCGAGAACAAGCCAAGGTCGGTAATGAGCAGTCGCAGGTTGGGATCAGACAGAAGCGTAGTCGAGAATAAGCCAAGGTCGGTAATGAGCAGTCGCAGGTTGGGATCAGGCAGAAGCGTAGTCGAGAACAAGCCAAGGTCGGTAATGAGCAGTCGCAGGTTGGGATCAGGCAGAAGCGTAGTCGAGAACAAGCCAAGGTCGGTAATGAGCAGTCGCATGTTTGGGATCAGGCAGAAGCGTAGTCGAGAACAAGCCAAGGTCAGTAATGAGCAGTCGCAGGTTGGGATCAGGCAGAAGCGTAGTCGAGAACAAGCCGAGGTCGGTAATGAGCAGTCGCAGGTTGGGATCAGGCAGAAGCGTAGTCGATAACAAGCCAAGGTCGGTAATGAGCAGTCACAGGTTGGGATCAGGCAGAAGCGTAGTCGATAACAAGCCAAGGTCGGTAATGAGCAGTCACAGGTTGGGATCAGGCAGAAGCGTAGTCGAGAACAAGCCAAGGGTCAATAACGAGTGGGCGCAAAATATGGATAACAGCAGAGATGATAAGGGGCATGATACTGGCTGGAGAGCACAATAATCTGGCAAACAGGAAGTGCAAAGACATGGCTTATATCAGGAAGTTCATGGGAGGAGCAGGGGGTTCAAGGTTCATGACAAACAAGGTCAAGGTAGGATTCTCCAAAAAATTGTCAAGGGAGCTGTCCAGCATTCCAGGTGGCTCAGCAAGAAGAAACATTGCCACTCACCAGGTTCAGACCCAGGCTCTGACTGTACTCCCCTCCTCACAGGACGTCCCCTGGACATCTTAGGACCATGCTTGTGGGGAAACCTCTGGTGGAATTCTCTTGTCAATATAGGAACATGAACATTTTCCACAGGCTCCCAAGAATTCTCCTCTTGCCCATATCCTTCCCATTGGACAAGATATTGCAATTTGCAATTTTGCTCTAAACATCTTAGAGACAAGAATCTTGTCCACCACATATTCTTCTTCACCCTGCACCTCAACAGGTGGAGGAGGTGGAAGAATTCTTCCAGAGAAAGGATTTTCATGAAATGGTTTGAAAAGTGATACACGAAAAACAGGGTGAATCTTCATACTGTCAGGAAGTTTTAAGTGAAAGGTGACTGGGTTGATCTAAACAGAAATCTGGAAAGGTCCCACAAACTTTTGGCCCAACTTTGTAGATGGAACATGAACCTTCAGATTTTTGGTTGATAGCCAAACCTTGTCGCCCACATGAAAGGTAGGAAGTGATCTGCGATGACTATCGGCAGCCTTTTTATAACATTCCTGAGCCTCCCCCAAAGTCTCAATCAGCTTTGCCTGAATATCCTGCAATGTAGTTAATCGGTTGGCAACAGCAGGAATTTGAGTTGTGATAGGGAGATCAGGAATACAAACTGGATGATACCCCGTATTAAGGAAAAAAGGGCTTTGGGAGGTGGAGCTATGTTTAGCATTGTTATAGGCAAACTCTGCCGTAGGTAGATAGCCCACCCAGTCATCCTGATGATAACTGACAAAATGCCGAAGGTACTGCTCCAAAGTTTGATTGGTCCTCTCGGTCTGACCATTAGACTGTGGATGAAGAGCAGAGGACAGGTTAATTGTTACCCCTAAAGCTGAACAAAAGCTTTTCCAAAATTTTGATGTAAACTGTACTCCTCTGTCAGATACCACATCATCAGGAATTCCATGTATTTTAAAACATCTCAAACCATCAACTCCGCAGTTTGTTCAGCAGAAGGTACCCCCTTAATAGGTATAAAATGAGCCATCTTAGTAAGACGGTCGACAACTACCAAGATAGTGGTCATTTCTTTTGAGGGATGTAATTCGACTATAAAGTCCATAGAAATTGACCCCCAAGGCCTTGATGGAACAGGAAGTGTCTGGAGCAACCCCAAAGGAGAAGCTCGTCTTATGGCGTGCGCTCGTCAGACAGGATCCACATAGAGTTTGATATCTTTCCTATAACTAGGCCACCAGAAGGAATGTGAAAAAAGTTCATCTGTCTTTGAAATCCCAAAATGTCCCGCAAGTTTAGAGTCATGAACTAATTTGAGGACTTCCACCCGAGCAGACTCAGGTACATAGAGACGATGTGCTAAAGTCCAAAAGCCATTCTTGCATTCAAGATTAATGTCCTTAGGAGGATCATTGAGAAGTGTGTCATTCTCATACCCCTCTTTGAGAAGACTCAAGAATGTCTTTGTACTTGTGGCCCCTAGGAAGTTCTTTTGAGTTAGGATTGAACAATCAGAGTTGCCTTGCTGGGGAGGCTCAGACAGCATCCTTGATAAGGCATCGGCCTTACCATTCCCCGATCCAGGTTCAATATGATATAATAAAATTGAATCTGGAAAAGAATAAAGACCAATGTGCTTGTCTAGAAGACAATCTCTTGGCCGAGTGAATGAATTCCAGATTTTTATGATCAGTGAGAACAGTTACAAGATGATTAGCCCCTTCTAGCAGATGCCTCCATTCAGAAAAGGCTTCCTTAATTGCCAGTAACTCTTTATTCCCAATTCTTTTCGGCTGAGGACATCAAACGAGAAAAGTAGGCACAAGGATGAAGCTGCATTTTTTCATCACTTCACTGAGACAGGATCGCTCCCACGGCAGAATTGGAAGCATCCACGTCTACTATAAAGGGTAGCTCAGGATCAGGATGTACCAAAATTGGTGCAGATGTGAAAAGAGTTTTTAGCTTCCCAAGCCTGTGCCTCAGGGGTCCACACGAAGGGTACCCCTTTCTTTGTCAGCTGTGTGATTGGAGCTATCACCTTAGAAACGTTTCTTATAAATTTTCTGTAGAAGTTGGCAAACCCGACGAAACGTTGAATTTCCTTAACATCTCCAGGTGCTGACCAATCTACCACTGCTTTGATCTTCTCGGGATCCATGCTCACTCCCTCTGGAGAAATGATGTAGCCTAAGAAGTGGATCTGGGTTTGTTCAAACTCACATTTCTCCAATTTAATGTAAAGTCTATTCTTAATATTTCAAAGACGGTGCAAACATGTTTGCGGTGCTCCTCCCAATTATCAAAAAAGATAAGAATATCATACAGATAAGCAATCACAAATTGGTCCAACAGATCACGAAAAACATTGTTGATGAAATGCTGAAAAGTTGCAGGGGCGTTGCAAAGTCCAAACGCCATAACCAAGGACTCAAAATGCCCATACCTGGTTCTGAAGGCGGTTTTCCATTTGTCTCCTTGATGAATGTGGACAAGGTTATATGCCCCTCGTAAATCAAGTTTTGTACAGATTTTGGCAGAACGAAGTCTTTCCAACATTTCAGAGATCAAGGGTAGTGGATAGAGATTTTTAATAGTGATTTTATTCATATCTCTGTAGTCAATGCATGGACGCAAGTTGGAGTCTTTCTTTTCAACGAAGAACAGGGCTGCTCCTGCAGGAGATGTTGAGTGTCTAATGAAACCCTTCTCCAAATTCTCATCGATCCACACCCTGAGCACTTTTAATTCAGGTTCCGACAGGTTGAAAAGGCGGCCAAAAGGTATTTCTGCCCCTGGGAGCAGCTCAATGGGGCAATCATATGGGTGATGAGGGGGTAATTGATATGCATATTTCTTGTCACAGACATCCCAGGACTCATGGTATTGTGGGGGCAAATTGTCATATGACTGGATAGCTACTATATGACTTTGCGCTTCCTTAGTCGACAGAGTTTCTTACAATATTTTCACAGTGGGGGGATGTAAAATCTATAGTCCGTGCTCCCCAGTTGATGGAAGGATTGTGAGTGGAGAACCAAGGAATGCCCAGATGATAGTAAAGTTGGGTGACGTAATCAGCTGAAAGCTAATGGCCTCACCATGGTCAGCCTCAAACTGCAGTACCAGGGGAACTGTTTTATGGGTAACAGGTCCTGGAGATAAGGGTGACCCATCAACTGTCTCCATATCAATAGGGGTAAATGTATTTCTTGCCTGAATATTACTGCTGTGGGCAAATTCTATATCCATAAAGTTCCCCCCAGCCCCGGAGTCCAGCGTAGCTGAGCAGGAGATTTCACGGCCCTCGGGGACAAGTTTAATGGGGATGACAAAATGAGAGAGCAGTGAGTTCACTTTATTCTCTTCAGGAATCAGTGGGGAGACAGACTGGCTAATCGAGTGTATTTGTTCGGGCGCAATCACATCAGTCACAGCAATTGTTCTTCTAACTTTTTAGGACAATTAACTGCATAATGACCAGAATCCCCACAATATAGACATAGATTCTCTGAACGTCTTCTCTCTTTCTCCTGAATGGAAATGGTTCTCTTGATAGCATCAACCTGCATAGGCTCAGGAGTGTTAGAAACCCAGAGAGACTCTTGAATCCTGCTGAACAAATGGACTAGCAGAGAGATGCATACTCATATTTCCCAACATTCCCAGCCTCTCCTTCCTCCTTTCTGTAAGTCTTTGATCAATTCGGATACATAATTGGATGAATTCCTCAAGATCATTAGGAATATCTGCTCTGGCAAGCTCATCCTTTACCTGTTCAGAAAGCCCTTGGCGGAACTGGCTCTTTTGTGCTGCAGGGTTCCAAGTGGTATCTGCGATCCAAACTCTGAACTCGGCTGTGTATTCAGCGACCGAGAGTCTACCCTGCCGCAGACTATGCAACTTTGCTTCAGCAGTAGCACAATGGTTGGTTCAAAAACCTGATTCATTGTGTTCAAAAAGGTATCAAAATTATTCAGAGTGCCATTGTCTTGCTCTATATAAGGGGTGGTCTAAGCTAGAGCTTCCCCAGTCAGAAGCCCAATAATAAACATTACCTTCTTTTTCTCTGAAGGAAACGCAGCAGGGTACATTTGAAAATATATACGACATTGGTTAAGGAAACCCCTGTAGTGGCGGCGGTCTCCATTAAACTTAGATGGTTGGGGCTGGGGCATATGTGAGTTGGTATCATCTCGGTTCAGCAGTTGTCTCTGCAGAGTATGAATCTCTCCCTGTT